TCTCGGCCTCCCAAAGTACTGGGATTATAAGCGTGAGCCACTGCGCTGGGCCCTTTAGGCCTTTTTCAATGTCACCTTTCTGGTGATGTTTTCCTTGAGCATCTGTTAAAAGCTGCACCCCCACCAAAGACATCCCGTCCCTGCTCTACTTTTCTCCTAGCATATTTTGCATGGAACGTGTTACGTATCGATTCACTTACTCACAGTGGTATTTCTGGCTCCCTCCTTGGGATGGCGGGGGTTTTTGTCTGCTGTATCCCCGCTGCCTCCCACAGTGCCTGGCACAGGGTCGTAAGTAGGGATCAAGTAAATGAGCTGCAGGTGGGGGTGGCCTCTGGCACTGTTCTGTCTGGTGTGATTCTGGCCAGTGGACCTGCCCAGTTGTCACGACCGAGGTGCCACTGCCTGGAGAGGGCAGCTCTCCTTACTGAGTGGGCCTGGGTGATACTCATCCCTGCCCAGCCCAGGTGTGCCACAAGTGACAAGGTCAGCCATTGAATACAAGGACAGGAACCCACAGGCTCCATAACTTCTGTGCCCACGTCCAAGGGGGTGGCAGGGGCTTAATACGACATCCTAAAGTGCTCACGGAGTGCACGGAGCCCAGGGACCTTGGGGCACGGTCTTGTTGTGTGTGCGTGGGACGTGCATTTTCTAATAGAAAAATTGCTCCCCCACCAGGCGCGGTGGCTCATGCCTATAATTCCAGCACTTTGGGAGGTCGAGGCGGGCAGATCACTTGAGGTCAGGAGTTCAAGACCAGCCTGGCTGACATGGTGAAACCCCATCTCTACAAAAAAAATGAAAAAATTAGCCAGGCATGATGACAGGTGCCTGTAATCCCAGCTGCTTGGGAGGCTGAGGCAGGAGAATCGCTTGAACCTGGGAGGTGGAGGTTGCAGTGAGCTGAGAGCACGACACTGCACTCCAGCCTGGGCAACAGAGTGAGACTCCATCTCAAAAAAAAAAAAAAAAAAGACTGTTCGTCATGCCCAGCTGACCAGTATTTTATGGTATCCTCCAAAGAGCACCCTGACTTCCAGGGGTTCCCTTCACACATTGGAGGGAGAACAATTAGCTGAAATTTCCTTCCGAACCTTCCAAGGCGCCTCACCACTAGGCCCCACCCCACCTCTCCCACTCAGCCCCCGCGCTCAAGCCCTGGCTCACGTCTGCCCACTGCCCACTCATGGCTGTGTGCAGCCTGCTGCTGTATTCCCTTGGAAAGCCCTCTCTTCTCTCCATCTAGCCAAGCCCACTCCCTCGGCTCTTTTCTTTCCCCTGTGTCATTGAAGCCCTGCTTGGCGCCAGGCCCTGGAGCTATGGAGAGGAAGAAAGCGGAAGGAAGCGTTTGCGGAGCTCGCAGTCTCGGGAGGGATGGGGCAGGCGAGTTAACTTCTAGTTCTCATAGCTAAGGTACCCAGGGGCCTTGCGGGGGCCAGGGCAAACAGTTTATGCTTATTAATTCACTTCATCCTCTCAAGAATCCTGGGAGGCAGTTACTATGATTCTCTCCATTTCTCAGATAGGTAAGCGGAGGCACAGAATCCAAGGTCACAAAACTAGTCACTGGTGAAGCTGGGCTTTGAAGCCACCACGAGCTACGAACAGACTGTTGGGAGTCCAGGGGGAGGGGTGACTGAAACTGCCTCAGGAGTCAGAGGAGGCTTTGGGAAGGAGGGGACAGCTGCTTCTCAACTGGGCAGCAGAGGAAGGGACCGGTGGCTGTAGGCTAAGAGGACAGCAGGGCAGCAGCCCCGCAGCGGGGACACCAGCAGAGGGCCGGCTCTTCCGGGGAGCTGGGCTGTGTTGGGGTGTCGGGAGAAGCTGCTGGGTCAGCAGAGCGTGGGAGCCCTTGCTGAGAAGCCTGCGTTCAGTTCTGTGGGCAGTGGGGCCGTGGAATGATTCTGCTCCTGGGAGTGACATGGTCAGGTCCGCGTGGCTGCTTCCTGGGCGGCTGCAGTGAGGAGGGCCGCAGCGAAAGGGCCTTTCTCCTCCTTGGGCCTCCACTCACTCTGGCATCTCAGGCAATGACTAGCTCTTTGAGACTCAGTTTCTTTCTCTATAAAATCCAGGCAGAAATGCCACCAGCCTCCTAGGGCTGCTAAAATCTTGAACGACTATTGCAAGGAACCGTGCCCCACAGAGCCAGGTGCTGGGAAGGGCAGCCACGGTCATCCCCCCTGGGAAGGGCATCTGGTAGGCTGGGCCCTCTCCTTGGCACGCACCCCGCTTTCCTCGAGTGACCCCTTCAGGCCCTGGAGTCTGATACTCACCACCACCTCCAGGTCAGAGTTCAGGTGCCGCTGGGTGTCAGACATCTGCACCAAGATCTCCCCTGGAGGCATGGACGGAGCTGTGGCTTTGGTGTGGGGAAGCCTGCCCCGCCCGCCCACCACCCTCTTCCGCTGAAAGCCAACAGAGGGCCTGCCCGAGGCTGGATTTCAGGACCAAAGTCCGGGAACTTCCCATACGGCTCTCTAGGAGCCAGGCTGAGAGCCAGGCCGTGCGTGTCCCAGCCTGGAAGCAGCCCGGCAGGGAGTGGTGGCAGGGGGCCTGGGCCCCAGAACGAGAGTCTGGCTCTGGGCCTTGGGCTGCAAGGCCTGTGTCAGGGACAGGGGGCATCCTGGAAGGGCAAGGGTGCAAAAGGAGGGCCCGAGAATGGGGTCTGCCATGGAGGGGGAGCCTCACCCAGAATCTGCGATGTGGGGCTCTGCAGGGCACGCTCCCCAATCTTCTGGATGGCACTGAAGTAGACCTCGGCTGCCTCAGACAGAGCTATGGACCAGGAGGGACAGGTCCGGTCCAGCCCTGCCTCTGCCCCACCCTTCTGGAGGCTCTTTTCATCCGGAAGGGACTGTGTCTGTCCTGGGTGGGGTGTGGGCATCTGTGTGTGCCCCTGAGGAGGGTGTGGCCAGTTGAGCTGTGAAGCTCAGGTGTGGGGCATAAGGTGAGAGCTGGGGGCAAGGAGGTGGCATGGATGGCATCTAAGAAGCAGGGGAATGGGTGGCCCTGAGGTTCAGGGTTGATCAGCGCTGGTGGGTAGAGGGGTGCTATTGGCAGGTATGAGTGGCCAAAGCGGACCGGTACAAGGGTTGGCGTGGGGACCGAGTGTCAAGGCCAGCTGTAGGGCGTGTGGATGGTGGCCGGTCAGAGTGAGGAAGCCAGCTGCCATGTGAGTCTGGGTGCAGAGGTGGGACTGGGTATAGGTGTGGGTTCAGCAGGTGGCATCGAGGTGATGCCTAGAAATGTATCAGGGGTTGCACTGGGGTTGTGTCGGCCTGCAGGGCCTGCTACTGTATCATGGGAGTGTCTGGAGGCACCTGAAGGAGGGGGCAATGAGGGGTGCTGGGTGTGGAGTGGGATGCGTGGGCACAGGAGAGTGGGGGTGCATAAGGCCTTTCTGGCCGCAGAGGTTTGAGGGTGAGGGTGGTGGGTAGGAGGGTGTAGGGCTGAGGATGAACAGGTGTGGGGTGCAGAGAAGCTGGGAGGGGCCTGGGGGTGGGGACAGCAGAGGCCCAGGGCTGGTGCTCGGTGGCCCGGGCAGGCACTCACCGTGGAAGGCACGCAGGTAGTTGTTGCCCAGGTACACCAGGTTCTCCAGGGCGGGGTTAAACTGCTCCATGATGCTCTGGACCCCAGGGCCAGGGGAGGAAAAAGGTGTGGAGATGGGGGAGCGAGAAGGAACAATGGACAGAGTCAAGTCACCGGGCGTCAGGGACAGGGCACCCCCAGCCCAGTGAGAAGCTCCCAGACTTTGGGGAGCCCACCTACAAACCTAGGCTCACCCAGAATCCTGGCTCTTGGCTGCGGGACCTCAGAGCCCATCTTTTGGGGTCCTGTTCCAAGCTATGGTCCCCTCACAACCAGCTCCCGCTCACACCTGCTCTGGCGGGACCGAGGTACCTCCCGAGATGGTGCACCTGGAAGGTTCCCCTCCCGCTGGGCTGAAGCTGGCCCACCCGCTGTGGTCCCCACTGGGCACGGCTCAGCCCTGCCCTGTGTCCAGGTCTTGCTGGGCTAGACACATGGGGCTGCCAACAGTCGCCCCAGGGGCAAGGGCAGCTCTTGCCCTCCTCCAAGAACAGCCCCGCCATAGGCAGGGCTGTGGCTGCATTAGTGTGGGCCACCCCAGGCTGGGGCAGGGCAGAGAGCTCCCTGGATGGTGGAGACGGGCCTGGACTTAGGCCTGGACGTGGACTTGGGTCTCGGTTCAAGTCCCAGCAGTGCCTCTCCCTCCCTCCATGACCTTGAATGAGCTGTTTAACCCATTTGGTCTCAGTTTTCTCATCTGTCAAACAGGATGGTCATTTTTGACTTCACAGGTGGGTGGCCTGAGGCTTACAGGTGAAAGGATCCTGCACGAGGTGCTAAATGTCTGTGGCGGCTGCAGCAACCCCCTGGGGGTGAAGTAGGAAGTCTGAGTGAGGGGCTCAGAAATGAGACACAGAGAGAGAGAGGGGGTCTTCATTCCCAGGCCGGGCAGCCAGGCCCTTCTCATCCAGACTCTCAACTCTCCCCACCCTGGGCCCTGGGCCCTCTCCTGCCTTGTCCAGCATCTGGGAGTTGGGGGTTCCTGCTGTGTGGCTGAGTGCTCTCAGGCATCCTTACCCCTGTACCCACCCCGGCCCAGCCTGGCTCCAGGCTTCCCTTTCCAGGACACCTGCAGCCCCGGCTGGCCCTCCGTCCTCCAGAGCGGGCATGACTTCTGCGCCCTGGGAGGAGGGGCTCAGGCTCTGGCTTGGCCACGCACGCGCTCACCTTGTAGATGGCCATGGTGGACCTGTAGAACTGGTCCATCTCGGGGGCCATGGAGGGGCTGTCGCCGGGTCTGAGCAGCAGGCAGGGAGCTGGTGGTGATGGCACAGCTGGGAGCAGTGGTGGGTAGTTCCTCAGGTGCCCACGGCTCAGCCGGCAGCGAGGAAGCCGCAGAGAGGGACCTGGAGATGGAGGCCTGCCTCAGAGGAGTGGCAGCTTAATTATTCACCAGCTTGGGATGTCAGAATGTGATCTGGGGCGTAACCGGACCCGGTGGGGAAGGCATCCTGTGACGGGCGGGCTCGTGTGACCTGCCCTTCAATTATTCACCCTTCGGAGCCGTGGGCTGATACAAGTGCCCATGTGGATGAGCCCCCTCCTGGGCCACCCCCTCCTCAAGGACCCCTGACCCTGGGGGACCCCACCCTCCCACCTGCCTATACCAGGCATTGCCCACCTTACTGGGTTGGCATTGCCCAATGCCCTCCCCCAGGACCCTCTCTGCCAGACCCAGCGGACGCAGCCGCTGGAGGGCAACGCTGCTGTACTTCTCACTGCCCTCAGGCCTGCGGCTCACCGTGGGGCCACGCCCTCTGTGGCTTCCAAAGCCCGCCCAGCTCCTCCACCTGCTGGAGCCGCAGCAGCACAGACGCTGGAGTTGCCCAGTCCTGGGCAGACCTTGGCCCTGCACATGCGCTGCCTGTCCATGCAGAGTCCCCGGCCTCTCTGGGTGACAAATGGGGCTCTCCCTGGGTCCTCCAAGATGAGGCTGAGGATTGTGTCCCCCCTTGGGCCTGCCTGGGCTTTGTGGGCCTGGCAGCTGCCTCTGAACACCCTAAGGGCCGGAAAAGGCTGGTCAAGGCCGAGGGTCAAGGCTGAGAGGAGTTGGGGTTCGGGGGAGCAGGGGGAACTCACACCACTGCACACACAACACCGGTGAACTCGAATCCAAATGGTTTATTTCACAGTTTTGGCTCTTAAGCCACTTCCATTGGGAAGAAGAAACCCCAGGAATGACCTTCGAGAGCTGAGAGTTCTCGGGGTGGGGCAGTGTGAGCAGCTGGGCCGGTGTGAGGGGTAAAGTCGAACGGGCATCCTGCTCCTGCGGCCTGGGCTTTCCTGGCTGATGGGGTGCAGGACACCCCATTTCTCTAGTCCCAGCCCTCAGGGAACGGAGCAGAGGGCAGAGGGAGTGGGCTGCACCCACTAGGAAGCCTGGGAATGCCCTTGCTAGGGGCTAGGGCGGAGGCAGCCCCACAGGCCGTCAGGGAGGCTGTGGCTGGGGGCAGGGGCACAGTTGCGCCTGGGTACCCTTAATGTTTGAGCTGATGGGGGAGTCAGTTGTCCTTTACAGTCAGGGAAAGGGCCAAAGCGGGCTCTAGACTTTCCCAGCCTGGAATGACAGAAAGTGCTAGAAGGCGGGGTTAGTGGGAGAGAGGCCTTCAGGACCAGCCTCGGGCAGGCAGCTTGGCATTCTCCCAGGCCTAGTCTATGGATGCAGAGCTGCCTGGGCCCGGATCTGCCTGGGAGGACAGTGGCTGGGCCTGGCCTGCAGGGGCTGAATGGATGAGGTCAGCTGGGGCCGGTGAGAGGCCGGGAGCCCTCAGGGTGAGAGCAGCAGCTGGATGAGCTTCTGGAACTCCTCACGGTGCTCATAGATGTAGACCTCGGTCTCCCAGAGGGCGTTGACCAGCACTGTGTCACTGACCTCATCCAGCATGATGTCCGTCCCCAGCTGGGGGTTCAATCTGTTCGGGCCAGGGAGGAGGGGGTCACCCTAGGATGCTCAGGCTGGGCAGGGGATGCCAGCTGGGACCAGGGTGGGCTTGGGGAACAGAGCAGACCCTTGGGGAAAGGGAAAGTCCACACCAGGGCTGGGAAGGGAAGGTTGGTGAGACCGACCAGGCCAGGGCACGGGGCCAAGGGCTGGGGCGGCTGAGCCCTCACCTGAAGTACTGGATGCCAACCATCTCGCACCAGGCCCGCGCCCGGTCCACAGCCCGCCCGTCTGGATCCGTGCACTGGTGAGAAGCAGCCTTGCTGAGCGCCGGGCCCACACCCCGCCTGGCCCGCACTCCGCCTGGCCCTGCCCTGCACTCTCAGAGCCCTGGCCTCGGGAGCCCCAGGCTCTTTCGAGTCGGGCTGAGCCACACAGCAGCAGAGTGGCTCGGGCAAAACCCCTTCCTGGGACTGCAGGGACTGTCCCAGCTGTGCAATCAGAGGGGCAGAGGTCTCAGCAGTGCCCTTTCAGGGATGGTGAGTTGGGAAAAGTGTAGTGGGTGAGCTGGGAAAAGGGCAGTGGCTGAGTGGACAGGCCTCCATGTCCCCTCTCCCTGAAGTTTCTTTCTTTTTTTTTTAATTTTTATTTTTTGAGACAAGGTCTCCTTCTGTTGCCCAGGCTGGAGTGCAGTGGCATGATCACAGCTCACTGCAGCCTCTGCCTCTTGGGCTTAAGCAATCCTCCCACCTCAGCCTCCTGAGTAGCTGGGACCACAGGCACACACCACCATGTCCAGCTAAGTTTTTAATTTTTTTGTAGAGACGAAGTCTCATTATATTGTTCAGGCTGGTCTCAAACTGCTGGGCTCAAGTGATTCACCCACCTTAGCCTCCCAACGTGCTGGGATTATAGGGGTGAGTGCCCATCCCACTCTGGAGCTTTTGTCCATTCTGGGCTTCTACACTGGGCTATGTTTGCAGAAAGGGATCTACAGCTAAAAAGGGTTTGAAAACCCCCCTGCTGGTGGTCACTGAGGGTCCCTACCCTGCCCTGAGACTCCGAATTGGGGACTCTCTCTCCCTGCAGCTGGCTAAAGGCGATGGACACAGCCCTGCTGTCTCCCCCGACACCAAAGGCCCCACAGGAT